GTGGTATAGCTGGGTCATGTGGTGGTTCCATGCTTCTCACTAGAGTTTTAGAAAGAAAAATTTTAGGTGTATGTCTCACTGGTTAGGCAGATTTCTTGGATTCAGTTGTAAGCTATGCTGTTTTAGAATTTTATGTTCTTAACATAAAAGCCTAGGAAGCATAAATGTGTACAGAAGCCCAACCATGTGTGTGTATGCATGTGCTTGCACATGTTTAGTCTTTTCTGTAACATTGCAACAGCTAGGCTCAAGTCATGGACTTGCTTCTCCTAAATATCAGCAAGTCTGACTCTGTTTTGTCTTCACTTGCCTCACAGGTTGGAGCTGGGCCAGAGGAGCCAGCCAATCAGCCAGAGTAGGAAGACAAAGAGTCTTAAATTCATTATGGACTGAGGGGGTGGAGAGAGCAGTTGTTCAAGGGCCTACTGTCTTACTCATAGTAGTTAAGTGGTACCATTTTTATCTTTGAATGTGAGTATGGTTTGTGATTATTTTTCAAGCATTTTTTTTCTCAATATGAAGCTAGTCTGATTGTAAAATCCAACCTTTTGCACTAGGCAGAGTCTCATTTCTCTCAAGTTCATATAAAATCTTCACTAATGCATCATTTATTATTTTGACAATTCAAACAGGACAGTTGCAAAACTTACTGCCTGTTGGAGATCTATATGCCCTATTTCCYCATGGGGACTGAATCAAAATTGTGTGTCTGCAGGTGACATACGAGGACAGTTATGTCAGATATAATTGAAAATGTTTCAGTGTGGGGAAGAGTCAGGATTCAGAGTAGTAATTATTTTACTTTGGGGGAAATTCAAATTCAAGATCTCGCTATTTCTCTTTCCATATTTGCCTTGATTTGGATCAAAGTATAAAAGGAAAAGGAAGTTGGAAAAAGATGGTAGCGCTGTGCCCCTGCAGGGATCAAACCTCACAGTATTCCTGGAATTGTATAAGAGCAAACTCCTATATCCATAAGTTTGAACATTTAGGAAGGTAATCTCAAAGGTATTTTTGTCTCAAATGAAGAGAAAAATTTGCACTTCATGAGTAGGAAAAGAAACCATTATTATTTGAAGTCGAGCTGTTTGCTTCCCTGTGACTGGTCACAGCTGTGGCTGTGATCTAACTAGTTGTTGGAGTTGGGATTCACAAGGCTGCAGTTCAGAAGCGTCTTGAGTTGACTGTAAGCAGCCCTAGATGTCATTATGCTGGTGACCCAGCCTATTGACTTTAACCTTTCTGAGCCAGGTTTCCCGCCTGCCATGTGATAACTCCTCTCAGGCCTGTTGTGACTATCAGGGGTAATATTTCCAGTGCACCTAGCTGTCATCTGATGTCAGGCTGAGCATGTCCTGGTGGATGGGTTGCTGCTGTGTTCTTTGTCTTTGCCTCACATTGCCTCGTGGGTTAGTGATAACTTTTGGCCTCTTTTTGTCAGGCTTTCATTTCCCTCAGTAAATAGTTTGTTATTTGTTTTTGGTACTCGGAATTGAATCCAGGGGTACTTCACCACTGAGCCACATCCCCAGTCCTTTTAAATTTTTGAGACAGAGTCTCACTGAGTTGCTGGAGCTGGTCCTGAATTTGGGATCCTCTAGCCTCTCAAGTCACTAGGATTGCAGGTATGCACTACGATGTCTGGCTCTCCAGTAAATGGTTTTAAAATAACTTGTAGTATTATAAAGAAAATAAGAAACAGCCATCTTGGTGATCTTCACACTTTGATACAAATCAAATTTGTACTTGAAGTGCCCGGGATGTTGCTTATTGGTAGAACACTTTTCTAGCAGGCACAAGGTCCTGGGTTCCATCCCCAATACCATCAAAAAACACACACACACACACACACACACACACACACACACACACTCTCTCTTTGAGCATTCAGCTTCAGTTTTGTGACTGAAGGACTCTCCACTGAACCAGATAGAGAAGGTGAAGCACTAATCCACTCTGGAAGGGGATGACTCATTTCTGGTCTTCTGTGGGGTCTTCTGTGTTCTGTGATGTGGTTTCCGGGACACCTTTGTCCCACTGGAAACCCTGTCTGCAGCATAGAGGTCTCCTTGGTGAAATTTGTCGTCTTCTGTAGACAAGTTATATTACAGGTGGCTTTTGCTTTGGCATTGTGCATGTCCCATAAAATACTGGAGACCATCTAGGCCCACCTTTTGAAATTAACGGGATTTACATCTTCTGCAGAAGTCATTTTATTCAGGAATGATGGCACAGGCCTGTTATCCCAGCTACTCAGGAGGCAGGAGGATTCCAAGTATAATCTAGTGAAATTCTGTCTCAAAATAAAAATTTTAAAAAGAGCTGGGGATATAGCCAAAGCCAGAACCCTTCTGGGTTCAATTCTTGATAATTCCCCTCCTTCACAACACCCCCCCCCCCAACAAAACACACACAGACATACATACAGTCATTTGCAAACTCAGGGTCTCATGTGTAATAGACAAGTGCTCTTCCACTGAGCTAACACCCCCAACCTCTCTCACTTTTCCTTCCTTCCTTCCCTCCCTTTCTTTCCTTTCTTTCTTTTCTTTCTCAGTAATGGAGATTGAACCCAGAGATACTTTACCATGAGCTACATTCCCAGCCCTTTTTATTTTCATTGTTTTTTGGGACAGTTGCTGAGGCTTGCCTTGAACTTATGATCCTCCTGTCTCAGCCTTCCYAGTCACTGAGGTCACAGGCATGTGCCACCACTCACTTTGCTTTTTTAAAGGCACTCTTAGGAAGAGCTTTAAATTTCTTCCTAGAATGCCTCATAGATTTTTATCTCATTTTTATATTTGGAAGGTAGAGGGAAGGATTCCTATTCCTTTAGCCTTTCTTCTTTAACATTTTTGTTAAACTTCAGTAGAGGTGGTCTTTGTTAGATGTTAGAACAGCTCTAGAGTTATTTGGAAGCTGTTAGTGTTATTTTGGGTGAACAGTACTTCTTAATGAAATTTGTCATTTGCTTAAGACATAGACTTCATTTCTTCTACCAATACATAGTTAAAGTTATGCTTACCTTGTATGCGAGGGCTTGGTGGTTTGTTTGTTTTTCTCTTGCTAGTGTATGTACTGACCTGACTGAAAAAAATAAAAGTGGATTTGAAAATATTTTTATTTCACAAATGTGTGCATGATATTGTCATATATTGTACTTATGTTTATTGATCATCTGATTAAAGAAAAATAAATAGGAAATAACAAATAATCTCTAATTTAGGAAAAATTTACCAATAACAAAAAATTATAGGCTTACATTAAACTTACAATGTGTATCTATTGTTTATTTCATAAATAAGATCTTGAATATTTCATGTATGCATCCTCCATTTCTTTACATCTGCACAGAAATTGGTGTGGCGTCTAGGATTCTAATATGTAGGCCAAACATTTGTCTTAAAGGAGCAGTACTGACTAGGAAGAAGGTGTTTCAAATTTATAATTCCAGACTTGCTGCCAGCTAGCATTTGACCTGGGCAAGGAATTTCACTTCATGGATCTCTGCCTCTTTGCTTGTAAAATAATGCTAATTCATTTGCTTTCTCACACCCAATCAGCTATGAAATTCCATTCTATTTTATGACAAAGATCTATTGCACAGATTAACAAGATTTTAAGTAAATTTTCTATCTGAAATCTCCTACATTTCTCCACAGATATAAACATACATTAATCTAGTTGACTCCTCCAGCCTTTGGGGGAAGTTTCTGAAGATTCATTTTTTTTAAAGCATGGATTTGTTAAATGTTTAGAACATCCCCAGAACTGGGCTGGGCAACGTGAGTAGATAAAATCATAGAAGTATATTTTCTGTAGAAGAACATATAGAAAAGCATGGAAATGTTGATGGTTGACCTGGAAATACCTTGAAAACAATTACAAAGCAACAAATGGACTAGTTGCAGGTATTTTATAAAACAGAATAGCAGTTGATTATTTATTAAGCACTTGTTACTGCTGGCACTCCACTCATTTAATCCTCACTCCAACTCCATAAGGTAAATGTCATCACCCAGTTTTACAAAGAAAATTGAGGCATGGAGAGGAGTGAAATGAATTCTCCAGAGTTACTGTTCCCCACAAAAGATTTAGAGAGAATGTTTAACTTAGAATCCCTGGGATGGTCCTCAGATATGGGAGTTCAAGTACTGAGAAACAGTAGGAGAAGAGTTCTGCCGGGGGGGGGGGGATTAATTTCTACTTTCTAGGCAGACTCAATATTTTAAAATATCTTTATTTATTTTTTATGTGGTGCTGAGTATCAAACCCAGTACTTCACAATTGCAAGGCAAGTGCTCTGCCGCTTAGCTTTATAACCCCAGCCCCTAGGCAGACTCAATTTTAAGGCAATAATAAAAACCTTTTTTTCCCTCAATTTGGCAATTGATACTTATTGTAAATTGATAGTTGGCAAATTATCATAAATTTATTTTTGTTTTACATATAGCATGAATTTGAAACAGCTTAGAAATGGGGAGTCTTAAAGTGAGAAAGCTTATTTCAAAAGACAGCAATAATCACATGATTGTGTGCTCTGGAGCAAACAGTTCAAAAGAGCAGAAATTGGGTCAAGTGTTGGGAATTGCCCTGCACCTGGGGGTGCTTGCCAGGGCAGTGGGATTGTGGGAATGTGCTGGGAGACATAGTGGCCGCTTTCCCTTCTTTGGTGGATTCTCATTCCTCACCTGTCCTTGCAGCTTGGCTTGCAGTTGGAGTGCTCTGCCCTGTGGTTTCCAGCGCTGCACTCTATTTTGTGGGAATAGGCACAATTCTCCCTCAGCTGTCTTCATGGAGGGTCTCAGGAGCGTGGCTCTSATGGTCTCTGTGACAGGTGCTGCCAAACCCGTGTTTGTATAGGCTCCCGGGTGTTATGAAACTGAGCCAGCAGCCTGGGTACCGTTCGTGCCTTCCTGCTTCCAGGGACTTGTGTACATCATATGATAGGCCACCTGGCCCAGAACAGAAGAAAAAGCCGACCTGCCTCAGGCCCCACTCTCCTTTCTGAAGAGTCCTGCTGGCTGCTGCTTGTGCAAGCAAAACACTTTCTCCTCCCATCCTGCCGCTTAGCTCCGAGGCTGAGAGGAAGAGGGAGCAGCCCAGCGGCCTCCCACTGGAACCCTCTGCTGGTGAGTTCCTAGGACATCACATCCCTCAGGCAGCAGGAGATGTGGCGGCTCCTGGCCTTCCTAGATTAGGGCATGTCAGGGTTGTCAGGGCAACTGCTTGCGGCAGTCAGTGTGTCATCTTTCCCCTCTTTGCTGTGTGCTGCTGGATATTTCACTGTGCAGTAGCAGGAAGAAGATTGGGAAAGTGCCGCAGCAGGAAGAAGCTGGGATCTGATTGAACAGGTTGGGCAGTGGAGGGAGGCATCTGAGCCTGCATGTCTTGGTCAGGGCTTTTCTGGAAAGGATGTGTGTGTATGTGCATGTGTGAGTGTGTGTATTCACCACTGTGTGTGCCTGTGGGGGGAGTAAGTGGGAGGGGGCTGCTGCTAGGTGAAGGGGAACTGCGGGGCCTCAGTTGCCAAGGGGCTGGTAGTATCTGTCAGCTGTTTGCACACTGTTTACCCATAGGAGATCTATTACAAGTGCTCAAATGAACCGGCAGCTTAGGAACTAGTAGTTTCCTGGGAGCTGCAATTACATGAGCATATATTTTTAATATAATAATTAAAAAACAAGTAGCAGCGGTATGCCTGGATCAGCTACAGCTCTCCGACAAGAGAGGCTGAAGAAGACCAATGCAAGGCCAATTCCCCTTGGTTTATTCACCATTAATGAGGAAGATGAACAGCAAAAGAATGGAAATTCCAGAAGACCGAAAGGTATGCATTAGCCCTGCCCTTTGGTCGGAGCTGGATCCAGCCCTGTTTCCACACTGCTTATGGCACATTTTACAAACTGTATTCATAGTGTCTGCTCTGGGGAGCGCTTGTGACCTCCTAGCACAGCTTGCTGCTGCTATTTCACATCCCACAGGGCTGTGTATGCATGACTTGGAAACAGATTTTGCAGATTTGGTAGATTTAAGTTCAACTACCTTTTAACCAGAGCTGCTTTCTTGAACTAAACATCTTTAATTTTTATGCATCTACTTAAACAGTGGTCGATGACTCTGTCCCATCAGGAACAGGTAGTATGAGTTAAAGTTTAAATGAATCTCCCCACATGCTTTAGATGCATTAAGCAATTTGTTTCATGAAGTTTCTCCTTAATATGAGATGGGTTAAAGTGACGAGAGTGCAGCCTTTCCATGGCCAGAGGGTGCAGATGTTGCTGGGTTTTCTATTCTGAAATACTGGTGAAAGGAAGRTAAGGAAACATCAAGGGTGACTACAGAGGGCAAAGCTGGTGAAGTTTTATGACCTTTAATAATAACTCTGCTGCTGAGCAGTTGTACAGTGGTAGAAACGTGGTGGGTACAGAAAACAGAGGTCTGAGTCTTGTGTTGTTTTTGTATTTCTCCTAATGGCAAAATATAGCTTCAGCTGGCTGGGCTTCTGAGTCCTATGTACCGTACCATATGAAGCATTGTCTCATGGCCACTCTCCCAGGGCTATAATTATCAGTCAGAGATGCAACCTCATGCATTTTTGAAGAAGGGCTTTAAGGTTTACATTTTAAGTTTTCCAGCATCCTAATTCTTGCAACCCTTCCCCCCCAAATACATAAGCTGTTCTCTTAAGCAGATGGGTTTTCGGTTTTATTTATTGCTTTCATGTGATAGTTAAGATTTAGCTTGCATTAAAATTATCCTGTCACTGACATATCAAATTTTCTTTGGCATGATACAGAGAGCTAGCATGGGCATGTACAGATACTTAACTACAAATCTATTATGTATAGTTGTAATTAAAAATGGACAGAAACAATTTTTTTAAATGAGAGCTAACATGGCAAAGTGGCAGCAAATATTTAAGTAAGGAGAAAAGGAATGTTTAAATAGAATCCACTGTCTGAAGGCTTCTGGTTTTCTTTTTTTCCTGGTTCTTTTTTTAAAATTTAATTTATTTTTGAAATTTTAATTTGTTAAATATGACAGTTTTTTCTGGTTCTTGAATGAATCAGTTTGCTTTTATTAAATATAATTGAAATTGTCTACTCTGAATCCCAAGTGCATTTTTACTTCATTTTTTTTAAAGACTTACATAGGAAAGTTTTAATAAGTAGATTCTTACTGCTGTGGTTGATTTTTATTTACCTCAGTCATGACTTCCATCTGACGATCACATGATCTCAGACAACTAAGGAGACTATGAATGGAAAGTGACTTATGTGCTACTTTTATTTGCCTGTGAATTAGATTATTGAGCCAGTCAATGTGTTGCCCTTGATGAAAACTCARTACTTTGTTACTAGAAAATCATTCAGCTTCTGAGGAGTTGGTAACTTTAAAAATAAATGTGATTTGTTGAATTGTTCCCACAGGCTATTTTTGGAAGCATTTCTTGATTTGTGGCTCTTTCCTTGGGTGGGCTGGAGCAATAATTTAGGATAGCCATCCATTTTGTTCTTAATAAGGAGTTTCTGATCCCCTACCATATTTCCCTTTGTAGTCCTGTCCACACAACAAAGAAGAAACACAAAACTATAATCAAGAACAAAAAAGATGGGGAGGGAGATCCTGTGCTAATAAGAATATCCAGACTTTCTGTATATCCCCAAATGTCTCTAATTTATGACCTACTTAACAATGGGCAGATGAACAGCTCTGAGTAGCTCTCATTATGCCTGATGAATAAAACCATTTTGGCTTTGATTCTGAATTTCTCATCAGGCCTATCTGGGCAATAGGAATGTCCACCTTCTAGTCCAGCTCTGTTTAATAGAAAAATGATGGGAATGTTCTATTATGTACTGTCCAATATGATAGCCATTAGCCACATTGGCTATGGAACACTTGAAATACGGCTAGTATAAATGAAAAAGAATGTTTTAGTTTTAGTTAAATAGTTAATTTAAATTTAAATAGTCACTTGTGACCTTATTGTACAACACAGTTTTAGTGAATACAGCTATGACCTCCTGAATTTGCATCTTCTCTGCTTTGTTCATTCTTACTGCTTCCTGGTGCCAGACATGGTCACGTTTTGAGATGAATGCGGTTRTTAAGAAGGGCATTGTGAAGCTGACAGCCTCTTCACTGCAAGGTAGCACTGGTAACCTGGGATAACAGACAATTGCATTTTTCCTCTTCAACTTAGGTGTTATTGCATTATTCCTTACCAATCATTAGTTGCCTCTACTATCTTTCACAGCTTTTTAAGCACTCCTATTTTCTAAATTATAATTTCCAAAGTATCATGGCAAAATGACATACAGATTATCTTATGTGTAACTATTAAGATAAACAATAAAATTTTATTTTCTACTCTCCGTGACCTAATCGGCCAATCATGTCTAAACCTGATGTCGGATCTGGTTTGAATGCTTAGTATCATTTTTCTACCATTGCCAGTAATAAAGAAGCTTACAATCCAGGTTCAGTAAGCTGAATGCTTCTGTTGAGCATCACCTGGGGTTGCTGATGAGTGCCATCTTTCCAGATATACATATTGTTGAGTAAACATCATCATAAACTTCATAGGAATAAACGTGGTGGTTACCATCTGTACTTCCAAATGGTGGCCTCCAAGTTACCTGCTGGGGCGAGACAGGAGTTTGCTAGCTGATAGCAACTATAATTCTTAAAAGAAGGGCTGAGGATGGTAGAGCACTTGCCTAACATGTGGAAGGTCTTGAGTTCAATCCTGGATACTACAAAAAGTAAAGAGATAAAGGAAAGTCTTTGAGTTGTTACTGGCCCATGTGATCAATTGGAATGTAAATGTTTTACATGCCTTACTATTATTAACAGGAAACATTTAAATATTATTTAAATATTGCTCTGCCTCCTACTTCTCAATCTTGAACCTCAGTATAGGTTATTAAGAAGGGCAGTATAGTATATGCAAAGATTATTGACATGGATTTGCTTTCAGAAGAATTAACTGTCTAGTGGAGGAAAAAAAGTATGTACAAATACAAGGGTGTAGATTGAAATGAGAAGAAGAGGGAAAAGAGCATGGGAATGGCAGAAATGTCAAATATGTGCAAACTACAAAGCTATTAGTCTCCAGTTTTCAAACTGGAACAGAAGAATTAAGTAATCTGGGCCCCTGTCCCATTGGGCTAAGGTGGGAAGCTCACACAGGACCCACAGCAGGAACATAGGATGATGAGTGGAGAAACTATCGTATTTTACTGCATCATCATTGCAGATGTTATGCCAAATTTTTTTTCGCAAAAAGTGGGGTGCAACCATTATATATGAAGCTTTTTTAAAAATTGTAATGGTATTACTTAAATATCATTTATTACTAAACTGTCATTGGTGTAAGATAAGGGTGCATTGAATACRCATGAGTACATTAAAATTGAATACTCCAAATCAACACACATCATTTCTTCATCACAGTTTAGTTAACATTTTTCCAGTCTGAGAAAAAAAAAGTTAAAATAGTTATTGTTGATTTGTTCACTAGAGTCAAAATATTACACTTGAGACAATTTACTACTGTGTTGCAAAGTATGAACTTACAAAATTTACCCTTCTGTATCCAAAGCTTCTGCACCCCTGTTACTGGTTTCATCATCTGGCATGCCATCCTCAGTGCCACTCATGTAAGATGTGCTCACTGTTAATACTGCAGCACTCCAAACCATGCAGGTTGACTTTGGGAGGTATGCAGACAGTGTGTGAGGGGCCAAGAATTGTAGACATAAGGCTCGTGGTGTGTGAGGAGACAAAATGTACATCCATTGCCGCTGGTGAATACATTGCTGCTGTGTTTACCTTTTAAGTGGCCTGAGGAATAGAATTATACCATGTGATGATTACCCGATGAAAGGGTGTAAACTAGTTTTGGGATTGAGAAGGGTGTGATGATTGTGCATTGAAACTAGACATTCCTACGGATGATTGCTTCTACCTGCTCCGTGTCCAGGAGAGAGTGTGAGAATTATAATAATACATTTTACAGCTTGACCCCATGGCCCATTTTGTGAATGATGTAAAGCAATCATTTCATTGTTTTTTTTATTATTATTCCTATTTTGTTTTTTATATGAAATCTGGTTGATAGCTAATTCCTATACAAAATCTGCTTGTGAGATTTGACTCTAAATTTTATAGAAATTATCTTCACCCCCCAAAATGGCAGACTGAGCCCTCACTGGACAGATTCTCTTCCTGCKTTCAGTCTTGTCTCTCCAGTCATCCTCCTGGATGAGACCTTGAGACCTTTCTGACGTGCAGATCTGTTCTCATTGCCTGCCTTCAGAAACTTCTCATGGCATTGCTTCACCTRGAGTACAGTTCTGTTGAGAAGAGTTCTTGAGACATATTTGGTCTATAGGTATGTTTATTTGTCCTCTGCAGTTTTTTTTTTTGTTTGTTTGTTTTTAAAAGGGCCCACACTTAGAAATGGAGAGATGCTTTCTTAACAATCTGGATTTTAAACTTCCCTTAAAGAATTGGAAACCATACCTACTCCTGGCCCATGTGTCTTAAAGGGCAGTAATCAACAGAAGCTAAGCAGCAGCTGCCACCCCAGAGGGGTCATGCCTTTTCCAGCAACCCTCTGTAGAACATGTGATACCTGACCTGCCTCACTTATCTATATTACCATAGTCATGTGCTCCTGTGACCCCTGCCCTAAAGAGTAAATCTGAGCTCCTTAATGTGGATATAGAGTGCCCATGGTCTCGTCCCTTCACCTCTTCCATCCTCTTTCCTGATACTCTTTGAACTCTGTGCTCTAGTAGCACCAGAATGCTTGGGTTT